CGGGGGGGGGGCTTGGGTGGGCTGGGGCCTGACGCGGGCGTGACAGCGGCGACGGCAGCCCGGGAAGCTGCAGGACGGCTGCAAGGCCTTGCCCCACGCTAGGCCCAGGCGCACCCTCTGGCTGTCAACCAGGCAGCAAGGCCCCGCCGCCCCCGGGAACACGGGGCTTGGGGAGCGGCCAGAGCCGGCGCTGCTCCTACTCTCCAGGCAGAGAATTTGGCAGGGCAGCCGTTTCGGAGCGCGTTGTGTGCTTCGCTCGAGCCCCCCGGAGCAGCACAGCTCTGCCCACAGCTCCGCACCGTGCGAGGAGCCCCTCCGGCGGGGGCCGGGCCCACGGGACAGGCGGCGGCTGCTCCGGCACCGCTGGCTCACTCCCGGTCACGGGCTTTTCCGTGCTACAGCCTCCCCGCCGGTCTGACTCAGTGCCGGCGGTGGCAGGGGACAGGCAGCAAGCGCCCGCGCGTGACCCAGGCCAGGCCGCCCTGCGGCCTGCGCTGAGCAGCTCCTGCCCGGCTGTCAGTGCCGCCGAGCGTCACAGGGCAGAGCAGCACCAGGAATAAATGAGTTTTCTTTCTGCCCAGAGCATTTTAATAGGAATGACGGGGCTGTACATCCTCTGGGGGCAGGAGCTGACGACCTCCCAGCTTTGGGACAGGCTCGAGGACCGGGTCCCACCTCTCTCGTACCCTGGCTGTCAAAACCCCTTTTCCTTTTCCCGACCTCCAGTGGTCCTGGTCATGAGACAGTCCCTCCGCCTGGTGTCCTGTCACCCTGGGAGGATGTGGCTCGTGCCGGCCGGGCACCGTGAGCCAGCCCTGACCACTGGGAGCTGGCACCGTTCCCACTGCTGGGCTCGCACAGCCAGTGCTGGAGGCAAGGGCATACCACCCTCCACACCCCGCCCTGCAGGGAGGCATCAGCCAGCTTGAGGAGGTGACTGGGGGGCAGCGCCCTGCCGGTCGCCATGCTGGCCACCTCCCCGGGCAGGAGAGCCCAGCTCCAGAGGGCCAAGCCAGCCAGGCAACCCACAAAGGCTTCCGTAGTGCTGAATCGCCCACCAGGGTGGTCCTGCTCCCGGCAGCAACAGC